GTACCTGATAATGACAAAACCTTGTCGAAACGTTGTACATTTGCTGTTGTGTTAAACTTATGTTAAAGTTTTTCTTTATTACCCATTCAAGCCATCTCCAACCATTAATTAGTCTCAAAGTGGGTTCCTCATCATCAAATATTGAAAATTTAGTTACAGTTTTACAAAGCTAAGTTTTAAAAAGTTAACATGTATCATACCATCACTGTAAAAATAAAAATAATATTATGGAAGAGACTGTTGTTGACACAATAATACTACAGTATCTGAATAGTCTTTCTAATTTTATTGCTATTCATTCTCTAATGGTTTTCAAACTTTGTAAGGTAAGTTATAATTATTCAAAGCTTTATATTATAAAATAAATTGATGACTACTTGAAAAATATCCAAAATACTAGGTTTTACTGTGTATAAGTATGTGTTTGCTTAATAAATAAAATGAGTTCGGGTTATTTTTTTCCCTTAATTTGAACAACTGCATCGATACAGATACAACACTTAAGGCTTCAACATTTTCTAAACATGCTTATGAACATGTAAAGCATTAATAAATTGCTTGGAATAATGGAAAGGTGTATACAGTACTGTTGCAAAAAGTAACTGATAAGTGACTTAATCTTTTGATTTTCTAAATGTTCAACAATACATAAGCTTAATATACAGCTTTAGAGACATCCAGTATTATATATGCCAGTGGTTATTTACCCCCAGTTGTTTCTAATATGTATTTCATGACATTTAATATTTAGTGTTTATTTAACCTGATAGAAATGAAATAAACTTATGCATGTCACATGTGTTTAATCATCACTTTAGTAAAAATGTTTTGTGTTTGAATATGTGAGTGCTGACTGTATTGTTTTAAGTATAGTCTCATTATTGATTGTAGTAAATAATTTTTGCATTAACATGTTTCCTGAATCTCTTCAAGAATTCCTAGGATATGTTCCACACCTTTCAGTTTGAGAACCACTGCACATGTGTAGTGTTCAGGTGTTAGGCAGTAGATACTGTAGGTGATGCAGCACTGTTTGTATGTTAGCTTAGTTAATCTGAAATAATGTTATATAGGAAATTAACTATTTTGATACAATATCAATATTAGGAGGTTATAATTTTAGAAAGCATGTGTTAAAAAGTGTTTAAAGGCTATCCCAACTTTTGATAGGTATCATTAGCTTGATAGCATTCAAAATGTCAAAGAGAGTTTGAGTACTTGTGTATGAGATCTTAAGGTGCATGTGCAGTATTGCTATAATTTTATATTCAAGCAAGTACTAATTGGACTATTCAAAGTGAAAATTTCAGTATAACTGTTTTCATTTTAGGCATGTGCACCTGACCTTAGAGAGAAGTTAGGAAAACCTGTTCCATCCTATACAGTTTTGGTAAGCTATTTTTATCAGAACTGTTACTTTGCTCTTTTCATATATCTTCATTTGGCAGTTTTACATAAGCCAAGTATGATGACTTAGTAAATAAGAATAATATTATATGAGTTTTATGAGACAGAAGGAGTCTGGGACATTTCCTTATGCCATCCAAGTTGCTGGAACGTCATTACAAAATGTTTCGTTACAAGTATGTTTTTGTGATTGGAGAATTTTGTTATTATATTCACCGCTACCTAATTTAAGTACTGTAATTCAAATCAAAGTATGTTAAATTACAATAAATGTTTTTATAGTCTTAAATCATTTTCATAATTTGTTTTATGTAATACTGTTTATGAAATCCCCTACCCCCTGTAACACATCATAATACAGGCTTAGACACCCTCTCACTCCCATGGCATTATGTAATTTGTGAATGGTCCCTAAATGATTGTACAATTTATGATCTATTAGCATTTTTTATTATAGTCTCCAATTTTATATTTAAAAAACTACCTGTCACAAAATCAGTATTTGTAACAAAAACTGCCATGTCACAAAAAATGATGAAACAAGATTGCACCCATCACATATTATCCTAGTAACAATGTTGTTATAATGAAATGTCCAGTAGCTAAATGTTTATAACAAAATGTCTGGATCCTAATGGAAGGTATGTGTTGAATAAAGATCTAAAGTATTAATACTGTATGAAAGGAAAAACCTTCTGTTTACAAAAAAAAGTGTGCAAATTAACTAAAATCTTTTTCTGTAGCATAAATTAATTGTCTTATTTTTTGCTAAATTTATTTACCTAATGATTTTACTAGTTAAAACATATAAAAAGTGTCTAGTCTGTCTTTTTAGGGAAATATTTCTCCTTATTATGTGGAAAGATATGGCTTCAATGAGGAATGCAAAGTAGTTGGATTTACAGGAGATAATCCTGGTAAGTTTATTAAATTAAATCTTCTGGAGAAGTAAAATAGAATATGATGATTTTTTACAGATATGTTCATCATGGCTATTCTTGAATTGCGAGACTGTACCAAATGTCATACTAAGGGCCCGGCATGGCCAGGTGGTTAAGGCGCTTGACTCGCAATCTGAGGGTCGCGGGTTCGAATCCCCGTCACACCAAACATGCTCGCCCTTTTAGCCGTGGGGCGTTATAATGTGACGGTCAATCCCACTATTCGTTGGTAAAAGAGTAGCCCAAGAGTTGGCGGTGGGTGGTGATGACTAGCTGCCTTTCCTCTAGTCTTACACTGATAAATTGTGGACGGCTAGCGCAGATAGCCCTCGTGTAGCTTTGCGCAAAATTCAAAAAACAAAACAAACATGTCATACTAAATACACAGTGGGGTCCTTTACTCACTTACAATTTAATTAATGAGAAATTGACATTCACAAAAGTCAAAATGAGATAATTCATACTAAGACCAATAAAACAAAAACAAAAAATAATTGTTTGAACCCTATAAGTATGGTAGGATAAAAGTGTGCATGTCCTTTTACAATAAACTTGGCAATAGAATTTAATTTATAACTCAAATTTTTTATATTATCTAAGTTTTAATTTCAAAAATAAATAAAAAGTTCCATTCTTCACTCTTCCATGTGATGTGAAACTTCTGGCTTCAACTTCTCCCTTTCAGAATTATCAACATCAAAAATAGGCTGCTAACACCTACATCTAATTAGTTAGAAAGTCAAATAGATTATAATAGTTTTGGGATATTCTATTCTAGTGCTTGAAATATTTTTTCCGTTCCAAAATGCATACTTAAAAGCTATATGAATTATTTGTTTGGACAACCAACATTGTGAGAAAAAAGTAGGGTTACTGAATCACAGAATTTGAATATAAAATGGATCTCAACGCCTGAAGCAAATGCTATATTTTTTTGTTTTTTTATATATAGTTTTCAACAAAAAATAACTAAAATGTGAAAATTAAAAATTGTTCAGGTTAAGTAACAAAAACAAAATAACTTAAAATTTTATGAGCTTAGGAACTCAAGCTAAAACTATTTGTTACTTGATTGGTTTGTTTACTTTATTTGTGTGATGAAATAGTCATGGTCTCTCAACGTGATTTATTGTTTTTCATGAAATAATAAACAGCTTTCCCAGACAATTCTGACAATAAAATGAAAAAACAAATGTGAGAAGGTTAACATTTGAAACTGTGAAGATAATTAACTTGATGATTTAGTGCCAAATGATGCATTCAAAGAAGAAAAAAGTATTGCTCATTTTTATAAACATAAATAAAATAACAACCTGTATCTCCAGAATGTAACTTTATTAGCCCAATATTTTGCTATTACAGCCTTGTCAGGAGCTATTGATTTCCTACCAGTTCAATAATACAGTTGATGCATCATCTTTTTTTCATACTTATGGTGAGAATGATAGGACTAGGAGAGACAAATATAAATTTTGGCAGGGTAGAAGTCATCCTCAGCTAAGACATTTATTTTTCTAACAGGGTGGTTGGCCTTTGGAACGGGTTGCCTTTGGATGTTGTGGAGGCAGTAACTTTAAGCAAGTTTAAGAGAAAGCTTGATAGCTATATAAATTATAAGATCTGGTTTTGAGAATTTTTTGTTAGTTATTTTATGTTAATTTTAGTTTAGATTAGAGGATGGGACATTATGTTATGTTATTTATATAAGCAACTTATCTCTCTCTCTGTACAAACACACATACGTGTCTGTGTGTATCTATCTCTCTCTCTCTGTACAAACACACATACATGTCTGTGTGTATCTATCTCTCTCTCTCTCTATAAACACACATACATGTCTGTGTGTATCTATCTCTCTCTCTGTACAAACACACATACATATCTGTGTGTATATATATATATATATATATATATATATATATATATATGTATTTGTGTGTGTGTGTCACAATACCATTATCGGTTCTGGTTGTCAACTTATTGTCATAATGGATAATGTCTGTGGTAATAGCACCCAAATTTGTTGAGGATATCTTATCTATCACACAATATCCAAATGCTGATATCAATCTAGTCAACCGTCATGAATAAAAAAAAACAAATAAAAAATTATGAATCAAATAATGGTACGAAGCTGAGTGCTTACACCCACAAAGTCTCAGCTTCTATTGCCTTTTACTGTCTATAGCCAGTTGTGTGAAGGCAGTTATCCTTAAATTTCTACTTTAAGGTGTTTTATAGTTTTTGTATACATACAAAGAAATAAAAAGTTTTTTTTTATTTATGTATTACATGTTTCATTAAGGTATAATACTAGTTTTTCAAACACATGATTGTATAATATACACTATTAAAATGACTTGTTAAAAAATGGGCATATTTTACCGTTTTCAAGTAATACATTACAAATAAATAAATATTGAAAATCCTATATCAATACAGCATGTTTTGAATTATTCATCTTGTTTCTTTATTTCATTCTAATTTTATATATATATATATTCATACTTTATATTATTTTATTTGGAGCCCACTTTAGTCTCTATGCTAATTTTGAAATTTTCCTTCTACTAGTTATTATGTTTCTTACAGTTAACTTTACTCTCCCACTCCTGTCTTTATGTGTGCTCGAAATGATTAACACCTACAACATATTCAGTGAAAGTTCACCTGAACACTACTGTAGATACCTATACCCTTATTAGAGATTACATCACTAACTTTTACATTATATTTCTTACTCCTGACAACATACATCATGATGGGAAAGAAGAATTTTTATTGTTTCACAAGAAACAACATACATCATGATTTTCATTGTTTCTTTCAGACCTATTTTTTATTCAGATTAAAAAAAAGTAATCATTCCAACTGACAGTTTCATTTGCTAAATAAAGTTTCTGTTTAACAGGCCCGGCATGGCCAGGTGGTTAGGGCACTCGACTCACAATCTGCGGGTCGCGGGTTCAAATCCCCGTCACACCAAACATGCTCGCCATTTCAGCCATGGGGGCACTATAATGTGATGGTCAACCCCACTATTCATTGGTAAAAGAGTAGCGCAAGAGTTGCCGGTGGGTGGTGATGACTAGCTGCCTTCCCTCTAGTCTTACACCGCTAAATTAGGGACGGCTAGCGCAAATAGCCCTTGTGTAGCTTTACGGAAATCAATAACAAACAAACACTCTGGAAGGCTAATCTATGTAGTAATTCAGTGTGTATATTTTGTATTGTCTTGTGTCATATATAATAGCAAGCCTAAGTTGTTCATAGTACCTTTTTTTATTTACTGTGCTTGTTTTTTCATGTTTTCAAGTCCAAGAAACTTGCTTAGGTTTTTATTATGTGGCACCTATTTGTTTTAGAATTGTACCCTTGATGCTATGTACAAAGATGTGATTATGTTGATCAAGATTGTTTCTTTTATTTGTTGTTCCCCTAAGCTTCTTTAGCAGGAATGAATTTAAAGGAAGGTGATGTTGTAGTCAGTCTTGGCACCAGTGACACACTTTTCCTGTGGCTTAAGGAGGCTCGGCCTGATCTGGAGGGTCACATTCTGTGTAACCCTGTTGAGAAAGATGATTATATGGCTCTTTTATGGTAGGTGCAATTTGTATTCGCTGTCTTGATTACAAGCTTGTAGTTACTGTTTGTAAGTAACATTGCTTCATAGTACAAAATTTGTTCTTTTGTACCATGTGCAAGTGAAAAAACTGACATTTTTTATGATACTATATGTAGTTTCAAAAATGGCTCACTTACAAGAGAACGAATCAGGAATGAGTGTGCAGATGGATCTTGGGAACTCTTTAGTGAGTTACTAGAAAGTACACCAAGAGGCAACTTTGGAAACATAGGTAAGAGAGACTTGTATGTAAAGTATTGTTCCTATTTCAGTTTGCATTGATTTCATGTTCGTCTTTAATCCTTCTTAACCTTGGTTATGACTGTCCACTCCTAAAATTATTTTAATAAAATAAAAGCACACTATATATATATGTATACATTTTAAAACTATACATGTATCGTATGGTAAGGTATTACCTGTGCTTGATAATGATAAAACTTTTATTGAAGCCAAGGAGACTGTTTAAAGTATTGTTTTGTTTATTTTAAACATAGGTTTTTTCAATTTAATTTTAAAAGGTTATGTAAAAAAATATTTTTCTTTAATTACTTCTTGTAGGAATGTATTTTGACCTGATAGAGATTATACCTACTGTTTATGGAGATCATCGTTTTAACAAGAACGGAGAGGAGGTATTCATTTACGCACTTATAAAAGCTCATGTTAACAAGTGATATTAATTTACATCTATATATAAAATGCATGTTACAAGTGATATTTAGTTGTCTATAAAATACATGTTACAAGTGATATTTAGTTGTCTATTAAATACATGTTATAAGTGAAATTCAGTTACCTATTTATAAAAGTTAGTGTAACAAGTGATATTTAGTTGTCTATAAAATACATGTTACAAGTGATATTCAGTTACCTATTTATAAAAGTTAGTGTAACAAGTGATATTTAGTTGTCTATAAAATACATGTTACAAGTGATATTTAGTTGTCTATTAGATACATGTTACAAGTGATATTCAGTTACCTATTTATAAAAGTTAGTGTAACAAGTGATATTTAGTTGTCTATAAAATACATGTTACAAGTGATATTCAGTTACCTATTTATAAAAGTTAGTGTAACAAGTGATATTTAGTTGTCTATAAAATACATGTTACAAGTGATATTCAGTTATCTATTTATAAAAGTTAGTGTAACAAGTGATATTTATTTGTGTATAAAATAAGTTAAAATGACATTCATTTAATTATTTGTGTGTCCTTGTTGCAAGTGGTATTCAGTTACTTGTGTATTTAAAAGTTGATGTTACAAATGGTATTTAGTTGCTTACATGGTTAAAAATTCATGGTACAAGTAGGATGTATATCTGTTAGAGTGCTAAATGCTTATTAACAGTCATTTTGAATGCTCTGTTTAAAAATATGTAGAAAAATAGTGTGTTGTAATTTAAAATAATATGACTACCTTATAAGTACAAGTGAATCCTAATTCAAATCTGGACATGCTAAATCAGTTGTGAATTCAGTTCTATATCCCCTGCATTGAAGTCATCTCATAACCTGTATATATACACCTG